CCCTCGTCCTTGCCACTTCTTATTCTCACACTAAAACATGATCAAACTCCATCTTAAAACTAGCTGTGGTTTTGCCCCTTTGACTTCTACTGGATGGCTATTTTAGGACAATACATTAGAAACTGTGATTTAATATCTGGCATAATTTTTCCATGGCTCATTCTTGTCCAACCATTGCTGCTTCTGGTCTCAGGCTATATCTTTGGAGAACAGTCATTTACACTCCGAGACATTGTTCTCCTAGGCCAAGGAATCTTCTCTTCAGTTCTTGTTCTGCATTCCCTCTTTTGATTTTTATGATTATCCAAGAAGACTATCTCAACCTTCTCCAACTTCTCAAAGTCCCTCTTGAATTGTGAGTGCAGCACCAATGAAACCTCTGCACACTTCAAGTAATATCCCCCATCTATATACTGGATAAAAATATATATATATAAAGAATACCTCCCATCTGTATATTTGGATACAAAGACTGTGTAAGTCCTTTGGATCACCTTGTCTCTTTAGAAGATGCTAATGATACATTAGCAAGACTTCAAAGGCCTTTTCAGTTATTGCTGCCTCAAATGTTTACCTCTGTTCTGTGCACATGATCTGCAGTGTGACTGCATTTACTTTCTCAAACAATCCCAAATACACAAAACAATCCAAAATTCATGACCCGTCCTCTCTATTTACTAATCCCTTAATCTGGATGTCAGTAACTTTCAGTCATGAGCTGATGTCCAGCAATACCAATGTTGAATGCTGGCATACAGTGCAATGCCAAGAACCGATGCCCCTGAAATCACACTCAATGATGATTCACCATGAGTAGTGAGTAACTAACCATAGGGTCAAAAAATACAGCTAAATAACAGGATCACAGCTTGATTATGACTTGACGCAGTTGTGCACAACTATATTTGCAAATCCAGGAGCTGCCTTCTACTTCTTTGCCATTATATTTTGAAATGTAGTAATTACTCAACTTTTAATCTAGTTACTGTGTGCATTCATTTTTAAATCTACCTAATGCATGTAATAGTGTATGTATGTCATTTTTAATTTCTTAAGAAAATCTCTAGTAGTAGACCATCTTATTAAAATCAAGGTATCATGAGAGTCAGAATGCTGATCTCATAAAAGCGTCACGTTGGTTTGTCACGTCATGTAACTGAACTCAGTTATACAACTTGGTTTTATATTTTTCACAGTTCTTCTTTCATGATTGAGTATCCTGTGAAAAGGTCCACTGTTTTGCCTCAGATCAGGTCATTCATCCACAAGTCACTTGTTTTATCTTTGCTTATAGGTTAGCATATTAAATTTCCTCAAATCACTTGTCTTTGGAATTTTCTTGCTAATTAATTACTTAGGGAAAAATTATTAACAGATATTTTTGATAGCTTTAAGAATGACTATCAGCTATGAGTTACCAAAATACACTGATTTTGGAACACTTAGTTCTGTCAGCTTTTCTGCAGCAGATCTAGAACTATTGTCTGAACAGGGCATTGCCACCAACAATTTTTTTTTTGTTACGAACAGCATCAGCTGGCTTTTGCTAAACATAGCGCAAAGGAAAAGTGTAAACATCTCTCTTCATCTGCATCATTGTCCTTTGCCCAATTTTATCTAATAATGGACCAAAACCATTATGTCATTTTACTTCTTCCACACATTAAAAAATTCCTTCTTAACTTGCATCTTAATTCATCTGGCCGTATATATTTCCATTGGCCTTGATGCTTTCCTTATAAAAATTGTATGATTCCTAGCTACTAATTGTCAATATTCCCCTTTTTCCTTCCCTCACACTGCCTGAAGTTGTTTTACTTCTATTTTTTCTTTTTTGTTTTTTTTAATCATAGAGTTAACAAATCTGTACTAAAAAAAAAATCCAGTGGCCATCTTGTATCCTGTTGCTGCTCACCAGTGAAGGACACTGGGTGATAAGAGAATGGTGAGTAAAATACTTATCATTTAGGTAAATGAAATATTTTGCTTCAAATAATAATCTCATTGCAGTAAATTCAATCTTTTCTTAACTAAAAAATGCTGATAATTAAAAATATTGACACTTGGGCTTGCTTCTCTTGAATATGCTGTGTGTATATGTTTGTGCATATATCCTGAGAAAGTGTTTGGATACATGTGAGACTTAAATTATACCGTTGACAATCATTCTGCAGTCTTGCTCATATCTCACAAACCATCCACTAGCAGCCCATGAATCACAAGTTGAGCAATGCTGTCCAAAAGAGGACTTGATGGCCTATTGCGAAGGATAGCTAGTACTCCGATGTATGTTTCATAGATTAGGATGTCAGTCTGCGAATATTCACAATCTTTTTTTTGGCTGTTGTTGGAAATAGATAGTGCTGGTTTTTGGCTCAGAAGTGTATATCCTCTGTCCTTTTCATTCTCAGCATAACAACTGCATTTAGCATTCAGGAAACTTCTTGCCAGCAACACTAGCTAGTTAGCCTGAGTTTACATTCACAAACAAGTCATTCCAGTTCCTCTTGTTCGGCACTAAGCATCTTAAACGCTCAGAGAAAGAATTCCCCCCCCTCAAATTGCATGCCGTTCAATTCCTTTTGTAAAGATATAATTTCTTAACCTCTTTGCACTCTCCTTTTTGTCATTAGGTTAACAGACTGATACAGAAAGCCTCCCCCCTAGAAAACTGGCTTCTATCCAAACTATACACTTCTCTTAATAAAAAGATGGATCGATGTTCCACAAAAACAGCCTTTTGCATCTTCCATTACTTATCTAGCTACCTGTTAATTTCTACTTTCTGTCTTCTAATGAAGAACATCTGAAAAGAAGTCACTGAGCACTCTTGTTCAGCAATATTCTCCCACATTTTCTAAAATCCTAACTCATTTGTAAGATGCTCTGAGAAGAGGTACTGCACAGACTATAGACTATGAGCTGTGAATCTTCATCCGTTTTCATCATAAGCCTACTATTTTAGAGCTGTCTCTACGGTTTAGGGTCTGAAAAGAAATTACATCCCTCCAGCTATAGTGTTCCCACCATGGATTGTCCATCTCCTGAATACGAGATCTCTTGGTTAAATACTTGATTATTTTACAGGCTGAACTGAACAGCCATCCATAAACATATCCCATTGAGCTCTCCAATTCATTCGACAAGTCATGTCTTCTGAGATTTTTCTGCACCATCATCAGGTTCTTAGCATGATGATGGATCCTTCTTGGCAGATATTCCAGCTGAACAGAGGTCCTCCTTTTTTCTAATGGTTAGGACCTCTCCATTCTTGTCTGCCACCAGATGCTTAGAATGACTCCTAATCCTTTTCTCTCTTACTAACTGCCAGCTTTCCTCTCTGCTTTCTATTCTTCCTAAGTGGATAGTTTTTTCTTCTCTCTTGACTTTACCAGTGGCTATACTAGAATTGGCTGTAGAATCATACTTCAAAAGAAATTTGGTGCTTCCTCTCAGTTCTGCTCTTTGTAACTTCTATTCACTGCTTATTCAGGCTTGCTCCTCTGCCTTATGACATTACTAATGAACTATTACCCACACAGGGACTTTAGCCGATTAGAGAGTGCTCAGAGCCATGCTACCTGCACTCTGACTTATCCCATTTGGCTTGGCTAGGAAACCAAGTAATTAAAGCCAAGTAATCCAACTTCCATGGAAAAAATAGCAAATAGGTGGACCACATATACCTCCTGTCTGGTGTTCCCCACACAGGCTTCAAGGACATATTCTGTGAAAGTCCCAATTGTTTCTTTTTTCTTTCTGAGAGCATTTGGTAGCATCCATGACTTTTAGGGACAGGCTTTCCAGTTTTCTCAAGTTGTCAAAGCTCTAAAAATACCCATTGGAGACAGTTTCCCACATAGCAAATTTAAACCTACTAAATTTGCCATCTTTTCATGAGTGGCCAGGGGTGACAGATCAAAGTTATTACTCTACAAGAAAAGTATAATGTAGAAAATGGGGGGCAGGTGCCATATGAAACTCTTAGAAGAAGAGGAAATTGGGAACAGTGAATGAGGCAAACAGAAAGGCAAGAGAAAGGTGAAATACGTGGAACATCCGCCTTGGGAAAGTCAAATGAGGAAAGTGTACAGGAAAGGAATTTAAATAGGGGCAGAGTTATGAAAGTGCAGAAATGCCAAGAGCACTGGGTAAGAGCAGCACAAACAGCCTGAAGAAGCTACCAAGTATGTAGACTTGTACAAAGGTATGCATATCACTGTCTTTGCTCTTCCACACCTCCCACCTGTCTCCTCATGGCTGGCAAAATAGAACTTCATGATCCATTTAACTCCTTCAGCAACCTGTATCCATCAGGTTGTGCAGGAGAAACAAAGTACAGCAAAGCTGAGTAGAGAAGGATCGCCTCCTTCGACCTACTGGTAACGGTCCTTTTAACGTAGCCAAGTATGCCTTTTGCCATGTCCGCCACAAGGGTGCCTTGCTGGCTCATGTTCAGCTTGGCATCTACCTGGACATCCAGGTGTCTTTTTGCAAAGCTGCTTTCTACCTGCTCTGCCCCAAGCTGGTATTGGTGCACGGGCTTACTCCCTGCCAAGTGTAGGACTTTCCATTTTCCCTTGTATTATACTCTATTAAAAAGAATAAATCACTCACATAAAAATGCTTAACCTGCATATTCAATTTGCTTTAGGTGATCGGAATATATATTATCGCATTTTATCTCCTTGGCCCAGTAACAGGTGAGATACAATATCTATAAAAACTATCACCAGAAGTTGAATAAAGACAAAATAAATAACAAAGATATATGATACAATGACTAGTATTTTCCTTTACATTGAAGTTGTGGTATGATTTGTGCATCATTGTATGAGAATGTCCATTACTCTGTATAGAACTAAGGCTAAAAGGCTCTACTGCATTTAAATTTCTTTATTAAGAAAACAAGAGATATAACGTTGTGTTGAAAATTCTTGGAGGAGAATTTTACAGTCATATGCCCTTGTCTATTAAGGCAGAGCACGAGATATCTTTACATGCGACTGCCGTTTATGAGGAGCAGTTCAGTAACAAAACGGATAGTGAGACAGAGTGCTAGAAATGAAAAGTTGAGCATAAGTGAGTAAAAGAGCTGTTTTGATCTCAAAAAGACTAGTATCTTAAAATAAATGATAGTACCATTCACAATATATGGTTACTGTATGAATGTCCCTTATTCCTAGAAACACATGGCCTTGGAACAGGAAGCATGCAGAAGCAAGTCTAATGAGCATTTCTTAAAAGAGATTTTAAAAAAAAAATACAAGCCTAGAAAATGCTGTCAAAAGTGTGTCCTCGTCTTTTCTTGGTTTAACCTCAAGTCATTTAGCTCCCATTTTGTTACCTGCTTCAAGCAATATCCATAAAGGAAGAAAGAATGCATTCAGTTTCACAATTAATCATAAAATGAAATCCTTAGTTTTCTGCTTCTCAGACTGCTGCAATTTCAAATACATCATCTAGCTGTAAGAGATTCCAAAATACTAACAAGCTGTTTTGTGTACTCTAGGTAAAGAAATTTGCTACGATAGGCTTGGCTGTTTTTCAGATGACCCACCCTGGGCTGGGATACCAGGGAGACTTCTGGCAGGTTTGCCTGACTCTCCAGAACATATGAACATCAGCTTTTCTCTCTACACCAGAGAAACAGGAAATAACTCACAGGTGATATTTATTTTAACATTAAGAATAGACTAAACCTACAAATGTTTGTAAATTTGTTAAAAAGTCTATGTCACTCATCATAGGCAAACAAGTCAGAATAAGAAGATAGTTTGAAGGTAATGAACAAACTTACAAGCATGAGGAAAAAAAATGAAGTAATTGCAAGAGACAATAGCTTTCCTAGCATTTTCCTATTCAAGCATATGGATTATGGAGCATTACCTTTTGCATGTATTTAGCTCTGTCAGGAAAGTCAAAGGCTTGTTCAAATAAGCAGCCTTCTGAGTATTCAGACTGGGGAGCAAATAGTGATAGCTTACACAAGGAGAAACTGAGCCAGAGACATATTTTGACTTTTAAAAAATAAAAGTGAGTCTGAAGCAGAACAATTTCAAAACCTGCATTCCTTCTTGAAATCTGAGTGATTTTATATTCTTACCTGCCTTTTTCCATTCTGCAAGTAAGACAGAATCATTCAAGTTGCTTATGCCTTGTAGTACCAAGCAGAGCAATGCCTAGGAATTTATAACAGTCCAGGTCTGGGACCACATCAATATAGCAAATGCACGTGAAGCTGCTAAATCCTTTGCAAGCTCCCAGAGCTTGTGTCACCTGTGCTGTACAGGAACATTCAGGATTCCACCGCCATGAACCAGGATGACATCACCGTCATTGCAGACATCACAGCTTGCAACAATCCTGGTTGCTACGCTAAGAATCTCAAGCTCAGGTTCTCTAAGGATAAAAAGTTATACTCGTAATAGATTTTTCTATCTGCAGAGCAAAGACATGTGAGTATACAATTTACACTCGCCTATAGGTTACCTAAGCATTTCTGTTGTTGATAAAATAAGCTAAGTCAAAATATACCTTGCACTACTTCTGAGCCATTAAACTTAAATCTACCTGTGATCTTAGGGCACAGCCCTTCCACACTCAAACTCCCCGAGCTCACATCACAGCCCCTATATTTATTTGAGAACAGTACAGACGGTCAGAGATCATGCTCAAAGTAAAAGGAAGATACATAATCAAACAGTTTGCAGCAATGTGTGGTGGACCAGGATCAGGTTTATCACTGTTGCATGTAGTATGATACTCTTTCAGCCTTTGTGGAGTGGCTAATAACAAAAACACCTATAGAAGCATCACTAGTGCAGATAAAAGTCATTTCTTAGATACAGAGCAGCATACTGAAGCCAAAGATGAGGTCAGTAAAAGGGCAGAAGGGAGGAAGCATGGAGTTGGTGAACTGCTCTCTGGAGGAACTCATCCAGCTCAGGCCAACACATCTGATGTGACACTGTGGCTCTTTTAGGCTGCTTCATTTTCTGATTAAGGGGTTCTTCCTGCATTAAGAGGAACAGACAGGGGCAGAAGAAACTACATGGAAGCACAACTTCCATGGAAGCTGTGTTGGAACTGAGAAGAGTGAGATACTGAGGTCCCCAGCTTCCAAAAATTAAAAACTGACCATTCAAAGGAGTGCTATAAGTCCTGCAGAGGGGATGACCTTGATGAGGTGGTATTTTGTTACCTTCTTTAAAAGGGTGAATAGATAAAAGCTCTAACTTTCGTTTTTGTTTTCCTCACACAGGTGATCTCAGCAATAAACTCCTCAACCATCCAAAACTCATATTTTTCCTCACGTAGGAAAACCTCCTTCATCATTCATGGATTTGGCAGCACTGGAAAAAAAGGCTGGGTGGTAGAAATGTGCTTGGTATGAGAGAGCATCCTCTGATTTCTATCAGCCATTGTAGCTGCATTCAGACATTATCACTTAGACACTAATGTTCACCTTCCGTTTTGCAGTTCACCAGAAAGTATTTACAGAAGATACCAACCAAGAAATAAATTTCACTCGGGTCAAAATGCTTCCATTATGGAAGGTGGTGCATAGTTAAGGCTTCTTGGTCATCTCTGACAACATGCTTCTCTGGAGAGTTTTCATTCCCACACTGTAAATGAGATCAAAGTAACTAAATGAAGACAGATGTCTCCAACCTCTAGGCAGGTGTCAGAACCTCAGACTAGACAGGCCTATTACCTGTCTTTCTTTAGGAATGACTAAAATATGCTTCAGCCAAAAGACCCTCCTGAATTGTAAAGCCCAAGTTTCAATCTACACACACTGTTAAGTTTCAGCACTATTCAGTTCCCCCCAAAACTGATTTTTTTAAGTTTTTTTCTTTCATTCCAGAGTGCAAAGAAATAAAGATTCTGAAACTGAAATAGGGAGTCTACCACAATATAAAGCTGCTGCACTCTGGACAGCAGAGTTTACTATGTTAATGTTAGCCTTCACTCTGAAAGATAAACAAAACCTCTTGCAGTTTTTCTTCCACATTGGCAGAGAAAGGGACAGACTAGAGAAAGATCACCACTGAACACAAAGTCACAGATCAGCAGAATTAATTTTGTTTAAAAGTCTATGAGAACTTTTAATCTAAAATCTTAAATTTCAAAATTTTCCAGCTGAAAAGAAACAGAAAATCCAACTGCCTCGCCACACTACTGTTGTGGCGTGCATAAAAGAGAGTGAAGGTAGTCCAGGATTCAATGCATTATCACTTCAAACTTCTGTTTTTCTTGTCATTTACATTCAGCTGTTTACCCTGAGTTAATTTTTGTTTCCGCTTCTTGTTCTTCCTCAAACCTTAAGTAAGCCTTAGTCACAGAAAGGTATAACAGCAGACCTTAACATCATTCTTCTGGTGGCAAAATCGGTGATGTCTGTAAGACTGTGACAATACTGAAGTGATGAGTACATTAGCTTTCTTTGCGGAAATAAAAACTTTCTACTTTGCTCTGAGCCTTTCCAGTCTAATATGACTTTCTCAGTTTCAAAGGCACTCGAAAAATTATTCTTTTTCCTGTTGTATTTAGTTAAACTACCGATGACCCTCAAAGAAAGTCACATATTGCACATAGCAGCTACTGTGCAGTTGTGTTGTCTTTCCAATTTATTTCAAATATGTATACAAAAGGTTTAAAAACTAAAGTATCTTGATTATTATCTTTCATAATCGAGATTTTTTGGATGAATAACTTGCTATATATATGAGAAATTCCATGACAAAATTACCATGTAATTGCTTATTCTGATTTAAGCTACTTCACTATTTTGTTTCTTTAAATACTTTGCTTTATGTGTTCCCACATTAGCTGTTACTGGAAGTGGAAAATATGAACTGCATTGCTGTTGACTGGAAAGAGGGTGCAAAAGGCACCTACGTCAGTGCAGTGAACAACATCCGTGTGATTGGGGCGGAGATTGCTTATTTCATAGATACTCTAAAGGTAAAAGATGCAGCTTTACAACCTACAGTTCACAAGTGGATATAGTGGGGTTATGATACTGCTGCTTTGATTTTTAACCTTGTCCAGTACGGTCAGCCGGTGCTTCAGGAAGTGCTATACAATGGATGTAGTTGAGACCTAGCTAATTATACTAATTACGAACTCAGTGAGGACTTCACACAGCCACAGAAGACACAAATTAAACTAAAGTGGTTGAAAAGAGATGCCAATTATTTAAAGACCAGTAGGTGACAACGTTTCCATATGATGACACAGGCAAGAAGGCATTCAGCGGAGGTGAGGCATGTCATATGACTTAAGTGCTCAGAAAAGTTTTGCCAGCACTGTACACTTGTGTTAGAAGTAAATTAGCATCTCAGTTTAGCATCAGCTGAAACTAACAGGAACTGGAAGCACCACAGAGGTTCATTTGATAATGCTAGCTTTGTTGTCTACAGGCAAAGTAAACTATCCTGTTGCTTTCTATTTGTGAACTTAATGTTACTAAAGGTAAGGTTTCACATGTACATAAATACCACAAAATTTCTTGTTCCAAAGTTCAAGAGCACCAGCATTTCCTGCTGCCTTCAAAACGGCTTGCTAA